GAAATGGTGATTTTTGAACAATTTTTTTCAAGATATTTACTCAATTTGGTCAAAAGTCAAAAGTGTGAATAGTTGCCAACAAAGTCCAACCAATGGTTGTGTGACACTTGTCACTCCATTAATGCAATCTTATCACTTCTTTTTCTCTCTCACATCAATCATAATAGCTTCCTCTAATTATCTCTTAACACCCGATAAAATAATTCCAGTATCCAAAACTTAATCTAGTTGGCCGAAATCTTCCGAACTTTTCACACTAGTGGGTCCACGTCCGATATACGCTCTTAATTTCTCAAAATCTCTTCGATACTAGAAAAATCATCTAAAAGCTATAGTTACTCATAAAAATAATCTAGAAAATTTTCCGGATACAGAAAGTGTAGAAAACAAATCATTGAAAATAAGAAAACCTAGAAATATAATAAAACCTAGAAATTGGAAAAATTACGGGTTCTCACATTCCTTATGAGTTATGGAGTTGATTTGGGCTGTTTTCCATAAAGCTTAGCTTGAAAAATTGGAGGAAAAATTGAAGGAAGAACAGGGAAATTGTTGTCTATTTCATTTCTTGAAGGATAAGTCAGTAAGAGTGGACATGGAGGTGTGCTTTGTAATCGATTTGGACTTCACTTGTTTAGGAATGTTTGAGTTAACCTTGGAGGTGATATGTAAGCTAAAATTTTGCCAAAATTATATATTTTGCAAGGTGAAAGTAATGACCATTTTAAAACATGATTTTTGGTCGCGTATGTCACATTTTAAACTTAAAAGTTCCGATCGTTTTATTTCCAAAACAAAAGCAAGTGTGCATATTTTACTTAGGGTCACTAAGCTCATGAAGTCTATGTATATAAGTTCTATTCACATGATTTCCTTGTGATATTTACAAGTGAGGGTTGGATATTTGGAAACCCTACTTGATTGTATTTTGTTATTCAATATTTGATCACAGATTTAGAATTTGGGCAAGGAGCTAGGCCTCAACCTGATTTTGCTAAACACTAATCGTTAGTGAGTGTTCCTTGCATGTGTATGATTTAAATGACTACGTGAAATATTGTGAATGTTGCCGGAATATTAAATGCTTTCCAATGATTGCTAAATGGATTTTCGATGGACGATACACACTCGTCCCAAGCAAAAGTAAATTTTCAATGATTGAATGCTACTTGTGCATAAATGTAAGCCTTTTGACTGAACTGGGTCCTTGCCCTTCTTTGCCAATCGACTCGAGCCAGAAGCGGACTCGGTCAGGCAGTTGGTGACCCTGGGACAATGTTTGGTATACTCGAGTATTACCACGAAGTCTGGTGGAGAACTGACCAGCGAATTCAATGCAATGAAATCAATGAATGAAAAACAAGAACACTGAAGGGTTTTCACTTGCAAATGTTTTCTAATGTCAGAGGAATAAGGAAAATGGTTGGTGAATGAATGAATGAATGACTTGAATAAATGGCTACAAATGAGTATGTATCTTTTCAATAAATGAATGATTGATTCTTAAATGAGTGCCTATTACTGTGCCAAATGTGCAAAGTGCTAAGTGTAAATGTTCCCATGTTTACCTACTTGTTTGCTTGTTTGGAAACCTTACTGAGCTTTTAGTTTATCTCATTAGTTTGTTTTCCTTACAGGGGTGGAAGCTGGAGCAAGTAACCGTGAACTAGTGTATATAATCTCTTGTACTTGTATTTTTGCAGATGAGATGTATTTAGAACCTTTAGAATGTAATCCTATGTTTTACTTTTGAATTGTAAATTAAGTTTGAATTGTTGGCTGGAAATGGAACTTTTATGTTAATTTCGAGGCTTGAAAAGCTATTTCAAAAACGCTAGTGAGTGAGTCTTGGCGAGAGTTAGGCAGGCGGTCCGCCAAATCCTTGGGTACGCCCTAAAGGGAGGTGGGGTCGTCACATCACAATAGGGAAATGGAGAAACTGATGGAGGGAGAGGAGGAAGAAATCAACATCAAAATTAGAAGGGTTAATACCACTTTGTCCCCCCAACTTTGGACGACTATCCACTTCAGTCCCTAAACTTCAAAATGGGACATTTAAGTCCCTAAACTTATAAATACTCCCACTTAAGGAAAATTGTTAACAATCCTGAATGCCATTGGTGGTCGAAGTGTCCCATTTTATAAGGGTTTAGGGATTTAAGTGTCCCATTTTATAAGTTTAGGGACTTAAGTGGGAGGTATGTATAAGTTTAAGGACTTAAGTATCCCATTTTGAAGTTTAGGGACTGAAGTGGGTAATCGTCCAAAATTTGGGGGACAAAGTGGAATTAACCCAAATTAGAAGGTTCAAGGAAAATTGCAAAAGACATTAGCATCTAGAAGAGAGATGTCTAATATCAACATTAGCAAGAATACTAGATAACTTCAATAACAGACTCATTGAGTCCACTATTCTCGATTTTTCACATTCAACATTGATTTGTTAATCATGATCAATTAGGGGAAACAATCAAACACCTCGTATGCTTTAAAACTCAACTACTTCAACTATCAAAAGCAGAATTAGAGACAAAGTCTAGCTGCGGACAATAGAAAATGGACCAGATCTGCAACTACTTTGTCTCATGAAAAATTAAACAAAAGCTCGGTGTTGTATTAGTCTTTTTTCCTAGTTCTTAACTTCATTGGAATTCTATGGAATACTTCAACATGAGGGCACGAGTTTCCCTTTATCATTTAGTTATACTATGAGGAAAACAAAACACAAAAAGAAAAGAGAAGACAGAAATAAAAAAGGTAACCACGTAATAGGTAAACTTAAATGATAAAAGAGAAACAAAAACCTGAGAAAAACAACATTCCTTCAATCATTTATCCTCCATTCTTGAAGACATAATAATAGTGATAACGAGATTAAAAAAACAGACTTGATAACAAATCTCCCAAAAAAAAAAAACAGCCACAAAGCACAAAAAATTTGAAACATAAGCCATTGCACATAGCCACAAGGCTCAATGCTGAAAACGTTGCATCTTTTTTCTTCTTACTTTATCTGACATACACCTTGAATTAGGAAATGTTGACCAGATCAAATTTATTAGTAAGACTTTGAAAAGCTCCAAGGAAAAAAAAAACTCCAAAATTAACTCATTTTGAAGAAAAAAAAACACACAGAAAGACTTCAAAAATACTCTAAGGAAAAGAAAAATAGAGTTTCATTTTGGATCGGAAAAAAAAAAGAGACCCTACAAGTCTTTACCTTGAGAAAAGAATCTCCACGATTCTTCGTGCTTGCTGATAGTCTTGATCTCTCAACCTGTAGCAAATGCATGAAACTTAATAGAGAATAAAAGAAAATTTAATCAAGGGGCAAAAAAAGCATTCACAAAATTAAAATGGAGAAAACAACGGACTTGAGAGACAAACAAAAAAACAAAAAAGAGAGAGAGATGGAGAGAAGAATATTTGACTTATGCTGAAAAAAGAAGAGAGGGGAAAATGTCCAGAGGAAGAAAATTGATTGATTGAGAAGAGGACAAAGGGGACAGGAGGACATCTGGACACTGCAATGGGGTAGAGTTGGTGGAGTAGTTCCTGATTTCTAATGAAGACCTCAAGACTAGTGCAGTACCCAAATGGATGGAAAGAAAAAAAGGGAGTCACATGCAGGACTCGTGCAAGGACAACCAAACTTGCCACCAATCACCTTTTGCCACATCACCAAGAAACCAATTCCTTCTCGCCACATGAGCGGACAACCATTCCTACGTGGCATGGAGCCTTCCCCTGTAGTCTATATTGTTGATAAGTCGAGTTTTCTTACATCTCTTTTTTATCAAAATCTAATGGTTCGATCTCTCTTCTTTTTTTTTTTTTTTTTTTATCAAAACCCAAATGCTTTTCAAAATGGCCCAGATCAATGAACTTAGTATCAAGCTCCAATCTTTTGTCCACCCCTGCCAACATAGTTGTAGAAAATTTGAAGGGCTAATAGTTTTCATGGGATTTGCACAACTTGAAAATTTTATTTGAGACAAACTATCAAACAATTGTGCTCCTATAATAAGAGTCAATCTTAAAAAAAAAAAAGAGAAAAGTTTTGAAATTTGAAAAGAATTAAGATGAGAAAATTACATCATATGGATGCTGGAGAGAGACTTCTCAATAAAATTTCCTAAGGTTGATGAATATTCTCCTGGTCATCGAACAATCATACATATAAACATTCTTGAATTATTAGATAAAGCATTCGACTATTGTAGGATAAAAGTGTCAAATTTAAAATTTAAAATTTTTTGAGTGAAAATGTAATTCAAGAAATGGCAAGTTTTAGCTTTTCGGAGGAGTGCAGTTAAAGTGGAACGTTTTTAGCTTCTTAAGCCACAAAATTAGTTATCAAATATTCTAAGCACTTTTAGCGTTTAAAAATTTTTCCCCCAAAAACCACCGCAACTCAAACGGGCCTACTTAGTAATTTTAGCTTTCGCAACCAAGTTCCAACTTCAAAAGCACTAGGAAGTAAATATGTCATGCTACACAGGCCAAATTATAAATTGGCACTTTCCTGACCATTTTGCTTCCATATTTTATTTCAAGCAGAGAGGTATATTGACTGAACTGCAATAGAAGATTAAGGAGCTTAACCAAAGGCCTTTGTGCTCCCAACAGAAGATGTAGGCAGAGGAGCTTCCTTTGGTTTTAGGTGTTGGCCTGTTAAACGTAATGCTACTATCAGGTTTAATTTATGGCCAAAGGTCAATTGCAGAAACCAAATTCAAGGATACTGAGTGTAAAGTACTTAGCCAGATACAGATTTCAAGCAAAAATAAAGCACTCTACATACACTAATTCTCCAACAAAGGAGTAATTTGAATTCAGCCAGCACGTCAGCCTAGTTAAACCGCCTTAATGCTCAGAAGCATCCTCACCAAAAATATTCGCGTACCGAATTCCATAGCCAACAACATGAAATACAAGAAAATACATAAGCCGCCTAGAATTATACATGAAATACATAACACACACTTGAACCTAAAATTAACATTGTCCCTAAATAAAGCAAATTATTTGTCTCAAGATCCTACCAGGAAGTTCTCTCTCTGTTTTCTACCTAAGTCTATTCCTTTACACAACAGATGAGAAAACAAAATGGAATCTTTTATAAGCCACAAGTCTAAACCCAACCCACCTCAAACAGAAGAAACAAAGCCAAGAATGAATTGCCGCCCAGCATAAGAAAGCCAAGAGAAATGACTGGTGATTGTACCTCCCTCAGCTCAGAAGTACAATCTTTGACCCCCAAATGGGTGTATGGATCAAGGCATGGAATCCACCTGCTTAGATGGCACATTTCCACACAACTGGCCTGGTAAGTATCCTCCTGCGCCATTGACAGAATCTTGTGTTACTTCCTGTGAGCTATTTGGCCTCTCAAAGCTGCCACTGCAATTTGATGCACAAGTTAGAAGCATTAGGAACTTATCGGCAGCTTTCTAACGTCTCAGCACAATGAGAAGGTAGAGAATCAGGTTTGGATGAATGGACGTACTGTGATGAGATGGCTGAACTGGAACATGATCCCATTGAATCATTGGCATCTGTCTTTTTCGCAAATCGTCCTCCAGAACCCCTTGCTCTTCTCAAAGCATGTTGATGTCGGGACTCATGAAGGTATGGCTGCAAAATCAAATAACCGGAATGTATCTCACCAATGGCAGTTGCATCAATTACAGTTCTAGAGACCGAGAAAGAGAGTCAGTTGCAATTTACTCAATTTACACAACAATTTCAATTCTAATGAGAAAAGCAGCAAAAGGAGGTTAAGTCTTAAAATTTTCTGTTGGAGAAAGTAAATGATTGTACAAATTAATGAAAAACAGAAGGACGTAATTACCACAAAGATTTTTCATGAGGCCAGATTTCACTTTGACCCCAAATGTCCAGTAAACAGCCAAAAGAAAAATAAGCAAAGGCAGAGAATACACAAAAGCACATAATCCTATTAACAAGAAGCTATGATTTATATCAATCACATGCTAACAAGCAGGAGTCTACTCAACACACGCATCACACGAAAGACACAAAAACAGAGTGAATTTGAGAATGAAAGTATACAAACTATTTGTTTCCTTGAATCAGTACTCTGCCAACTTATTGCAGTGAGAGGACTCAAATCCTGTACCCCAAATATCCATTTAGTGAAGAGCAACTTTAATTGTCAGAAGGAATGCAAAAAATAAATATAAGAGCAAGAGGAAATGTGAGTAGAAAACTGCCTTTATACAGTCTCTGAAACTGAAACTCAACAACTAAATAACTAATGGGATTTGTTGACATATGTTGCCGAAACTAAGGAAAAAAATGCAGATCAAATGCTCCTGCAAGTATGAGGTAGGAAACACATGTACTTGAAACACCAACCTTGCGTGCTTTTATCAACTTCTTTTCAAGCTCAGCTTTGGCACGCGACTCTCTTCGTCGCAAAATCCCATGATACTGCTTGGCATTCACATAAACAGGCTCTTGTGTCATTTCAAGAGGAAGAGGCATCCTGGCGTGATGCATATCAATTAGTGGAGGATGAACCTGATCAATACAAAGTTTGTCAGATTAAGCATCTCAAACCAGTAGCAAAAGTGAAATATTTGTGAAACAAGCATGATGAGAGTCTACGAGATAGCCAGCTGGCTAAGAAGCACAAAGAAAACTAACCAAATACAACAGTGTACATAAATCGTCGAACCAACAGTAAAATTACAAACATTAAAGATAGTGTTTTGCCTATATTCCAATATGATAATAAAGCCTGATAACCATCTGAAAGGAGAAAGTCGGCTTGAACATTTGAGAGAAGATTATGTAAGCTAAGTAATCAAAATATGAGAAAAGGGGCAAAAGGACAACGAAAATAGAGAGTCATCTTCTGCTGTCTACCTGCCACTTCTTTGCAATTTAAAACAATAAGTTATGCTTGTCTATGATTTTCCATTGTCTCCACAGGAAGAATAATATACAATTCTGTCCCAGAAAATCAAACATACAAAGTGCAATAAAATGCTATGTTATAGTACTTAATGAAACTACAAAAAACTACACATACCAAAGGCTGCCCTTGCCAAAAATATGGATCAGGATATGGGTTTGAAGCACAAGCCTGAAGAGGAGGACAGAATAATAGGTAATTTCTCAGACAAGATATGTCTCTACCAAAAGATAAAGACCACATAAACAAGCATGTTTAGTATCCTCAGAGTAAAATCAATTAAGAGAGCAGCAAAAAAATTAAAAAAATAAAATAAAACTTACAATTGAATGCCAACCAGTTCAAATTGCTGGGGCTGAGTAAGGCTCTCATTGCTTTTTGGATGGAGGATGGCTGTGACGCGATTCTCTGGAAGTTATTATCTCTTGTGCATAATTTCCATCTATGATTGATAAGATCATTGCCATCAAAGTGATGCAGCATTCATTGAGACGAATAAAGATGTTTGAAGAATTCAAGAAAATCAGGGAATTCAGAATTTTCTTAGTTGTTCCTGGTTATGTTTTAGGTTCCTTTTAATGTATTAGTTTTCAGGATCAGAAATTAGAGTCTCTAGGAGTCAAATTTTAAATGTGAAAATCAGATTTCGTGGCTGCAACTTAAATTATCAAAATCCAAATTCGTTTGCCACGTCCTTTCAATTTTAGTGTCTTAGTTGTTTTCTTAGCTAAAAGTTCTCCATAGTCTTTAAGAAATCTTGACCTACAAGACTGGATCTTGCTCTATACATATACCAGCTGTAATAGCTTAGGAATGTAGAGATGGAGCGAGATAAAGTTTTGTTGAGTAATGAAGTTCTGCCATACTTCCTTTGAGAAATGAAGAAAGCCTCAGCTTAGGTTGAATTTCTAGAGTTTCTACTTCCTCTTCTTCTGTTGCTTCCTCCCAAAATACTACTACAACACTCTCTTATCCTCAAATCTTCAGAGATGAACATTTTGCACCTACCTTCTTATTCTTAAAGATTCTCTAACTGAATTATGGAATCAGGTTTATCTTCCCCATAGCTTCCTGGTACTGCATCTCTTCAATTATAAAAAGATGCTAATAGAAGAATCATCCAAAGTAACACCACCATAATCTAATCAACATATTTAGCATGACAAGCAGGAACCAAGAAATCCTAAGACAAGTTTTCCTAAAAATCCACAATGAATTTACTAATCTATTATAAGTTCAATCACGAAACATGTGGGATAAATTTAAGGAACTTGTTTTGCAATTTTCCCATAAGAAAAAAAAAACAATGTGCTGTTAGGCTTTGTATTAAAATCTTTTAAATTTGATGGGTAAGAATGAAATAATTCAAGAAGCACCAAAGGATGATTGCAATCTATAAATGATAGTCCAACACCTCCACTCCTGTCTAACCTCAGCTATAGATATTTGCAAGTTGGTAGAATGACTACCTTCCTTCTGTATCAACTTTAGCTATTCTAACCATCACCATGTTGCACTGCTCAGTCTGCTAGTCTGGCTTTCCTATTCTATCTAAGTTCATCCCAGCTTCTTGTATTTACAGCCCACCTCTTACCTATCATTGTGGAATAACTCCTAAGTCTTCTCCATAACGTCCAACATCCAAAACTAGATATTTTGCAACTTCAGGGGTGTAAATCTCATGCATTACCCAGATTGACTTTGAAATAATTTTCTGATTCAGATCGGTCAAGATGACTTTCAAGTACAAAGAGACGTACCAATGGAAGCAGATTCTGGCCACACATTCTTCATTACAAATGAGAGTTGAAATTAAATTAGAGTGATCGATCAAGGTACACAGTAATTTTTGGACATGCTTTACCCATGAGTGTTTCAAAAACTAAGATAGCTTAAAGCATATCATGTAATCTTTTCTGAAAGCCGTCCGTTAAATGTTTAAAATGACTTCTGCCAAAGTACAGCTCATAATTTTCTTTCTTACACCACAAGAACCTGTGAGTGTTTCAAAAGCTAAGTTAGCTTAAAGCATTTCATGTAATCTTTTCTGAAAGCCGTCTATTAATGTTTAAAACGACTTCTGCCAAAGTACCGCTCATAATTTTCTTTCTTACTCCAAAACAACCTGGTTAACAACTAGATGCTTTTTTCAATTTCTTTCTGACAAAGTAAAATATACAAATAACTCCATCACGAATCATTATGCAGCTTTTGCATCCAAAAGGCAATACTACCATCAGAAGATGCTAGAAACTAAGCTTAATGGGCTGATAAACAATACCATGCACTTTTGCTTTGAGCTTCACTATGTCTAGTATAAAAGTTTGTCCAGAATAAGTCCCATAAATCTGGATAACCTCAAAAAAAATATGAAACAGAAAGTCATGTTAGGAAAATTACCAATGAGGTTAGTCTTAGGGGAAAAAAAATCTTCTTCTATGGAGTTGGAAGCAAAAGTTGAGTAACTAGAATATCAATTATCACAGTTCCATTTTATTAAGCTTCCTAAACTTAAGCTGCTCCAAGTAAAAGTACCAACACCAAAATGACTGCAGTTCCTCTAACCTTACTACATCATACTTGAGTTATGCATCAGAAACTAAGCTCAAGTGGCATGTCTGATGGTACTTTTTTTGTGGTAGAAGAAACCGATATCTAAAATATTGTTAACTCGCATCCATAGCTCTCGGAAGGCTTGCCAAAATACATACATAGGAAATGCAAAATGTACAACCTCATCCTAGAAATCACATATAGTTCCAATGCTGTAAAAGCAGACAATAATACATACACATTCTCCGGTAAAAGAATCTAAAGTGCACAGAATGGTACCTGGATGTTGATTTACCACACTCTGTGATTGCTTGGCACTGTCTTCATCTTCCTCATTTATTCTACTATCAGACTGTGACTGACCATCCATGGATTGCTCCAGGGACGATGACTCTGATACACTTCCCCGCATCATAGTAGTTGAAATGGAGTTATAGCCCATGGTACTCCACCATGGATCAGAACATACAGTAGAATGTGGAACATCATATAGATTCACATCTATTCTGTCCGACCTTTTAGGCTTTGGCTGCATGGTTTTGCAGGTCTTGTACTGAACTAACGTATCCTGACAATGGAAAAGATGCAGATTACCAATAGCATGTAATCATAGTACTTCACCAATATACAAGGCAAAACCAGAAGGTCTACCACACATAAGCTTTCATGAATGCCTTTCACAAATATTGTAAGGCTATATAACTGACATTTAACACCAAATGTTGCAGTTCCAAATCAAACGAGATTAGTTTCCAAAATAAAAGCCATATAAGATGCAGTTCCACACGAAACGAGATTAGTTTCCAAAACAAAGGCCATATAAGATGTCAAAGAGAAGACAATCTCAGCAACTTCATCTTCTTTCACTAGCATTCTCTCCAATCCAAATTTTAAATAGCGTAACAAATCTATCGGCTAATTTAGAAGTATTGAATACTCAAATCCAACTGATCCCGATTCTGGGTTGGATCCAACTCTGTTTGTTCAGTATTTTTATACACTATGACAAATATCTTTATCTCTCTACAAACCTTCATAAACTAAAAACTCATTCACATAATTACATACGCTTAAAATTATGAATTGTTTAAAACAGATTTTCAACCAAACAAAAAAAATGCAAATTACCAATTTTGAATCTAGACAATTACATTTTCCACAAAGAATTTCATGCCAAAATGCAGTCAATAGTCTTCTCATCAATTTCAATTGAAGGGCACAACTCCAGTAACAACAGGAACACATTCAATTGGTAGGTAGATAAACCCTTTGTTCCTTTTTCCTTTCTTGTTCCACTTCTCTGCATGAAGACTTCAATTTGTTGCTTATCAATTATCGGCATGTTATCAAGAAACACAGAAAACTTAAAACAACTATCGAATTCACCAAAGAATTACAACTTTCATCGGTTACAAAACATTTATCAATCAAAAATAAAGATTTCTAAAAAAAAGGGAAAATGGAACTGAGAAAAAGTTGTATATAACTATAAACACATGGACCCAGAAAGCAAGTATAAATTCCAGAAAAGAAAACAAAAATCAAACCCCAAATGAACAAAATTCCCAGCTAACACAAGAATACATAAATATATCCAAGTGCATGCAATTCACGATAGTCAGAAAAAGAAGCAAAAATGTAAAGATAAAGCAAAAACGAGAAGAAGATTCTATTGGGGTTAGAGAATTTTCTACCAATGAAAGCGACGACTGGAAATAACCATAGAAATCCAGCTGCGAGTATGAGACCCTTCTGAGAGACTGGAGGTGATAGAAGAACAGTTAAGTCAATGCGTTTCTTTTCTTGTTTTCTTTTTCTGTTGGGTTTATTTCTTTATTTATATATTTATTCATTTATTTTTTTTCATTTTTTTGATTTGCAAATTAGTGTGCATATACCATGCGATGTGGTAACGAGTGTGGTCTGATATCAAAATTTATTCCAAATAAATATTTTAGTTGCATCACAATATAGTTTTCAATCAATTTTTTTTTTTAATTATTTTTTTATTTCACATATATTATATTTTAAAAAGTATAATAGTAATTATTTTAATTAAAATTTTAAATAATTTACTATTCAAACACAGTGATCAATATAATTGTTCTCTATTTTTCAAAAAAAAAAAAGTGTTTACATACTAAATATTGAAATTGGAAAAAAGTCCCAATGGCTCTCGAACTTTTAACTATATAAGGTTTTAGCTCTTCAATAATTATGAGTAAACTTTTGGCCCCCGATCTATCAATAGTGTAAATTGTCGGGCCTTCTGTGAATTCCAACCGTTTATGTGTGATGAAAATGAGGACATTTTTATCTGTTCAGGAATATTAATCTAATATCCAAAGTATCAATTGACACCTCAATCAAAACGGACATTAACTCACAAATGTACACAGGAAAAAATCCCAAAAATCCTATTTTTTCCATTCTCTTTTTAATGTTTTCACACAATTCAGTGGATCTGAAACCAAACCTTATGTACCTCCTCCTCTGTGTGCTGTTCTCCATGTGAAATTGAGTGAAAGAGACAGATAGTAATAAGACAAATATTCAGCAATAGAGAAAGGAGGTGGCAATGGATCTATGCAATTCATGCTTGCTTTTTTGCTTTCTCATCTTCTGTATCATGCTCTATCAAAGGATGGGTTTCTTAAGAAAGTGAAGGATTTCAATCAAGATAATGGAAAGAAAATCAAAGAATCATTAGATTTGGAAGCCCACTATGGATGTCATCAGACCCACCAGTTATTGTTCTTTTTTTACTTTGAAGCCACAATGCTTACTACTTTTTAGAGCTGTTAAACGAACCGAGCTGTTCGTTAGCTCGGTTCGTTTCGGCTCGTTCATGTTCGTTAAAGGCTCGTTCGAAAGCCTTACACGAACGAACACGAACGAATTTTTGTGTTCGTTTAATAATCGAGCGAACACGAACATGTTCGCGAATTTTAACGAGCGTTCGCGAACAAGGAGTTACTTTGTTTTATTTGTTGTTTTTATGTTAATGTTGATTATGCAGTTATTGAATAATGGAATTTAGTCATTTAGTATTTTAATTATTTTTTAGGATGATTAATGATTTGTGTGGCATATTTAAAGCCTAGAATAATCTAGATTCGAACTTTTCGAGCGTGTTCACGAACGGCTCGTTTATGTTAAACGAGCCGAACACGAACACGAACTTTACTTAACGAGCCGAACACGAACACAGGTTTAGAGTTCGAAACTTAACGAACGAACACGAACGGAGTTCGAATCGCTTAACGAACAGAGCTCAAACATGAGATACTCGGTTCGTTTCGGTTCGTTTACAGCTCTACTACTTTTACCTTCTAGGGGTCACCCCTAAAGAATTTCATATGATATAAAATTAATGATTGTAAATATGTTGATTTTATTTGTATTTGTAAGATTAAAAAAACCCATTTGTTGGTTTTATAAGTTCTATACATATCTGTGTTAAAGAGTGACTTTTAGACTGTAAAAATTTGAAATTTTTGAAATTTCTTAATTTTTTAATTTTGTCCTTTAAATGGGAGTTCTAGGATTTGTTGCATTTGGATAGCATTGTTAAAGTTGATGAGAAGTTTGATTTTACAGATTTCATTACAGAAAATGGCTTTATTTTTTAGTAAAAGTTTGAGTTTATTGTGTGACGCCCCCACTTCTCCCTAAGGCGAACCAAAGGGTATCCGCGGAACGTTTGTCCAACTCTCGTCAGGATTCAAGCAATTTCTGTTCAACCTTATAGCGGTGCTAGATGTCAACAACCAGATAATATAAATACAATTAGTGCGGAAGCGGTCAAACTTAACAGTATATAACAATCACCCAATCTTTACATCGGGTTTCCATAATACAACCTAAAATATATAATAGCCAAAAGTCTAGAAAAAAGAGTTGGAACCCTATTACAAGAGTATTCAAAAGAAAATTTCCTCCGAATCTCAATCCAAGTTCAAATCCTGTTAACGAAAACAAATCTACAAGGCGAGCAAAATGCTCGTGAAGCCAAGAACACACGTGCAAGCACGTTGTTCAAATAACAATTCCAATTTAACAAGTAGAGCAATAATATTGCATTAAATAACAATTCGAGTGGGAAAAGTAAATAGAAACAATTCAAGGATATCGGAGCTCTCAGGAGCAAATTTCCACTTGCTGTGCCAATGTCATTCGTATACCTTCCCGCGATGACACTTCGTCAACCAGGTCGTTATTTCCATTCCGTAGATCACCACTTACTTCCCTCCGTCCACCCTACACCTCCCGGGCCCATAAGACATTTATTAGGCAATACTCCACGAGTATGCCAAGCAAGACATCTCATTAGGTCGAGTTTAATTATCTCATGGCTCGTTAAGATTCCCGACCAAGCCCATGTCGGCTCGAGTCCAAGGTCGGCCTATGAGTTTGGGCGTCCCCCATGTACATTTGAGAGTCGAGAAGATTCACTCCAACGACGTACGCAGCCATAGCATACCCTTTCATTTCATTCAAACATTCAATCATCTCATTTCATTCAATTAAGTCATTCATAATTCATTCGTTTCATTTTAATCATGAGTCATTCATTTCAAATAAGAACGAGTGCGGTAAAGTACACACTCGCCTTCATTTTCAAAATCTCTAAATAATTATAACAATTAAACATGTATCAAGTATTCATACACTTGACACTCACCAATATAAGTAATAAGGAAGAAATGTCACTCGGAGCTTTAGGCGTTCACTGGGAGATCCTCTTGAAGGTTCTCTTGTGTGCCTAAGCAATTAATAATGGGCTATTACTGATAATTTCAAATAATAAGGGTGGTCGTACACTAATACGATATTAAAATGTATCTCGAAAATTGAGTCTAGGTTTCTCTTTTGAAAAATCGAGACTTAATAGGGTTACAAAACTCGAGTAAGAACGGATCATTATCCTAAAAATCATTAGATGGAAATGAGTACGTGCAAATAGATTTCAAAACGAACGACCGAAGTCGAAACAGGATGGCCACTTCACAATCCGGCCGGATTCTGGCCGGATATCCGGTCGGATTCCTGGCCGGATTGGAGGCAGTGACCAATCCTCTTTTTTTTTTCAAATTCCATCATCAATTCGGCCGACTATCTGGCCAAGAACTAGCAGGATTCAAGGCTGGATTATGGTGAACAGTTTCCCGCGCGGATTGCTTTCAAATGGTCACAATTTTTTATTTTTGATAAAAGTTTTGAAAAATCATAACTCACTCCATGATTGTCCAAAATTGGAAAATTTGGTATCGTTAGAAACATCTTTCAGAGTACTAAAAGTTTCTAGAAAACACCTTTCCATGAATCCAAGCGGAAGGCATTCAAATTTTGGCTTGAAGTTGATAACTTGTGTTATCAAGACAGCTTGAAGTTGGTTTTCGGCCAACTTTGAAAATTCGGTAAAATTTACTCAATTTGAACTAGCCTTTGAAATTTGATACTCTACTAGAGTTACAATCCAAGTTTAGAACAAAAGAAACAGAACAAGAATTGAAATTTTGAGCACCAAGATATGGTAGATCAAAGTTACCCAAATTTCCTTGTTAACAAGGGTTTTCCAAAATCAAGTCATGAACTTTGGAAGTTTAGTTGAGCAATGAAACGGCCTCGAAATAGCACCAAAATTAGCAGTATAATACTACTATATAAGGGCTATTTCTCTGCCAAATTTCATGGATAAATAAGTACGGAAAATTGGTTAACTAAATCACCCAAGTTCCAAAAATTCCAAGGCAAATCTGCCTTGTGAATCTTGTTTTCCGTTTACAAAACGTTTGGCCTACAAAGTACCTCAAACACGGTCCATTTATATAGAAAATGTCTAAGAGGCATCCAAGACAAAATTTGTGGGTGATTAATACCAAGAATTTCGAGTACAAGTTCCAAACCAAGATTAGTTAAGGATTTAGCCCAAGATGAGGAATTTCCTCATTGAGTCAGTTTCAAACTTTAGTCACAACTCGCTCAATTCAACTTGGAATTGAACGTGGTTGGTGGCGTTAGAAAATAAATTCATAAGGCTATATTTTCTCAGAAGAAACTATTTTCAAAATCCATCCACAACTAGCTTACATTTGAGCATCAAGTTGTAGTTCGTGTTCTGCCCTGGAGTCAACCAACGAAACAGGACAGCAAACTTCAAACGAATTGTTTGGCTCACACAAGTGGAATTAGGATGTGCATTTTATACCAATAGAAAGCTGGGAATGTCAAATTTCCAGTACCGTAAATGGCACTCGATTTCGACATTGGAATAAAAGGTTATAACCGAAACAACAGGACTGCCTGGGCAATCCGGAAAAATTTTCCAGTTCTGCCATACTTTGGAAATCAACATATTTGACCAACCAAATCATGTTATTTTTCAACGAAACTTTCTACACTATCCATATAACATGTATACATCATAAGCAAGCTATTAGAACCTCAAAATTTCGTATCAAAGGTCACGAACATGCAGGGATAAAATGGTTACTTTTGCTCAATGCACCATCCTTGAGTTTTTATCAACAACCCAACATTGTACCACTAATATAAGTACTAAACGAACATTAATTTCACCATCAATCACCAAGCCAGTCCATCCAACCAAAGTGGGAGTTCATAGAGCCCACAAAATAATTTTTCAACATAAACAAACTGTGG